CATACAGCATGCCCTGGTATTTTTTTTTCATGATTTTTAGAGATGCGGTCTCGCTATGTTGCCCATCCTGGTCTCAAACTCCTGGCCTCAAGCGATCCTCTCGCCTCAGCCTCCTGAGTCTCTGGGATTACAGGCATGAGCCACCATGCCTGGCTAGTATTAAACCACGGCTCTGTTCATCCAGAAACTCAGGCAAGTCCTGAGATCAGTCCTATTTAGTTTTGGAATACCTTTTTCCAGGGGACTTATCTTCCTAGTTAGTTTTGCTCAGACTAATGCAATGGGTTTATTCCCTTATAGCACACAAAGACATGGGCTGTGCTGGGTAACAAAGCCAGCAATTAATAGAAAACTTACAGCAGAGACTTCATGAAGTAAATGCTATGCACATGATTGCAGATCAAAATCTCATTATACTATACAGACAAATCACTCTGCTGTAATGCAGTTTTGTAATAAGAACATCACTACCACTCACATTTCCAGGATTTAGGATGTGAAGAGGAAATAGGGCTTATTCCTGTTTCTCATTTGGAAGCTCTAAGAGGGCAGAGTTCCTGTGTGCCTTGGCCACCACTATATCCCCAGCACCTGGCACAGGGCCTGGCAGAGTTGGTGCCCAATAAATATGTGCTGAGGGAATGAATGAAAGTAAAAGTGGATGAATTAGCAAATGAAATGGTCCCAACCCAGTAGCAGAAGTGAGATCTCAACCATCTTCACATCTGCTCGTTTGCTATTTGATGCCCTCAGGAAGCCTTTCCTGTCACCCTCCACTCCCATCCACTCTGCTGGATCAGGTCCCCTTGTAATGAATTCTCATGGCAGGCAGCTATTCTCCTGTGTAGCACTTATCACTGGGATGATTGTATAGTTACTTGTGTCTGCCTCCACCACTAGATTGTAAACTCTTTGAGGGAAGGGGCCATGTGCATTTGGGGGGCATTGTAATTCTCCCTCGGCTTTCTATTTTGAAAAATCTCAAACACACAGAGAAGTTGGAAAACAGTGTAATGACAACCGACATACCCTCAACTTAGATTCAATAATTTTTAATATTTGGGGCCATGTAAACTTTCTATAGTCCAGTATCCTCTATACAGCTAGGTGAATATTGGGGTTTTGAATCTTCTCCCCACTCATAGGCAGCTGCTTTGGGACAGTTTCCCCAGGCTAACACCCCCCATACACACTAACTTTGTAGGGCAGAGTTAGGCCCTGCAAGTTCTTTCATTTGGGAGAATGACCATTATTACCTGGATTGCTACTGGAGAAAGCATCATTATTCACATTGTGGGATCAGTTCAAGCCAGAATCAATGAGACGCTATTTCAATGGGCTGGCACTTACAGTCTGGACCCCAGCGTGCAATGTTGAAAGAAACAGCTCAGTGCAAGAGCCAGGAGATGCAGCTTTTGGAGCCTATCCTGTGTCTCACTAGGTTACCTTGGTCAAGTCATATAACCTCTCAGAGTATATATTAATAGCAGCCCAAGCCACCTGAAAGGGCGGCCTTGCTGAAATAACAGGAAAATATCTAATCCCGCAATTTCCTAACAACACCTAAAGATCAATCACGAGCTCTCCCTACTGTCCGCTGTTTCTCTCCCAAGCTGGCAGGCACCCTGCAGGGTTCCATGGTCACAAACATCAGAAAAGAGCTGAGAGACAGAAAGGAAATGTATATCTTTTTCTTTACATTTGCCAGAAACTGCTTTTAGAATTTGTTTTATAGCCTCAAGGTATTCCTGAGAAGCTCCCAGAAGGACAGCAGGGGGGCAAACACCAGGCCTTAGTTTCCTGCCCAAAACCATATCTCAGGGGCAAAATCACATCCCCTTCAACAGCCTGACTACATTTCAGAGATAACCAAGTCTCCAGGAACAGAGAAGAAGCAAGAAAGACGGACAACCTGTAGTCTCACAGCTGCCTGCTAATTACTCCACAACAATTACTACTTTTTTCTTTCTCTTTGTCCCCATAAAATCAGCAGGTCACTTGGCCTCGCTGCTGGCACCCCCTTCTCTTTCTTTGGGATGCCACTGCCATCTCTCTGCTCTCTTTCTTCCCCCTCTCTTTCCCCTCTCTCTTTCATTCTCTCTATCTCACTCACTCTCTCTCTCTTCTAAGAACGATAAAAAACTTTTTTACTTTTATATATCTTAATTTCTTCATGAGAAATCTTTCTTCACCTGCGCCGTGAGCACCTACTAGGCTTTCCACCCTAACACCACCCAAGGCACCTCATGGGCAGGGGGTGGAGGGGAGCATCCCAAAGATCTTCTATAGTTCTCTAATTATTTCAGTGTCCACAATTTGTCTAACTACACTGTAAGTTTCAAAGCCATGAACGATGTCTACTACTTTTTTGGGTATAGTTGACAAGGACATGCTGGACACATATCAATCAGTCAAATAAATACTCATAGACACAGTGGAGAAATAATGTTGTCATACAGAGTCTTTCCCAGTGTTCATTTAAATTGGATGGAATTGTATTATGTACATCACAATTGAACTTTCAAGTTGCATGCATGCAACATAGGCCCTACCCAACAATTCTAAGGCCTGTTTTAGTCACTAATGATGGTTAGACACATTAACCCTCAACAGACTCTGAAAAGGACACCCCCCCACACACACACACCAGGGCACTACTCCCATGGCACCATGTCTCAGAGCTCATTACAAAGAACTCCTAAGCTAGCCACACTGAGGTGTACTCTCTAGTCTTCTCTTCCCAAACCCTGGATACATGCTCCTTGGAAGAAACAAGCAGCAACTAGACTTCCAAGGTCTCTTGAGTTAATTCCATCTTCCCTGGTGAATTATAACTTATTGCAGACACAAAGGAGAACAGAGAGACAAATGACACATAAACAAGTGCTTCACTGGCTGGGGGGAGGGGGGCTTGGAGAGTGACGTCAGTTTTCCCAGAAACCCATTTATCACGATAACAAGGTCTCAAGTGCTCAGGCTGCTCTTTCAGCTTCAGAATCTGGAGTACAATTATGTTCTTCATCATACAGTATGGCAAGTCCAGCCAGAGCAAACTGGAACCATGCAAAGCAAACCAAGTGGCCCTGAGCCACCCCCTACCCCCATCTGCAGAACAAAGGGGATCTCTGGGTTGCCTGAGTTGTGCCTGAGGTGAAGCACAACCTTCTGGAATGTTCCCCTTTGCAACATCCGCCCTGCAATACTAATCCAGGCAAGGGGCACTGGGGAGAGAGTATGGACAGGTCGATGCAAATTCATTAGCTGACAAGAAAAATCATTAGTGTCATTTTTGTTCACTAAGGATGGAGTAAGTGTAATCCAGAAGACTAATTCCTCCACTTAAGCTATGCCATCGCTAAAATGCAGGTAACGAGGAACAGGAAAGCACTCTGGGAGCCCTCAAAACACTAAAGCAATAAATATTGTGGTGCATTCTTGGGGGGAGAGAATTCTCTCGAATTCTTTCATCACAGAGCATTGTTTCCTATCTACTCCTGGTCCTTCCACATCATAACTGCATAGAGTTCTGTGCTGGGGCGTGCAGAGGGTGGGGGAGGTTCCTGCCTTTCCAAACAGGGACAAAAGGGTGGAATAAATGAATACATATCCTGTAGATCACGTATAATCAGATTCTGGATTCAGATTTTGAAAACAAATCAATTTCAATTACACCAAATACCTACAGGCGTTTTTTTTTTGCCCTGGAATTTCATTACATGAACTATTCTCAAAAATAAGTAAACTACAAGGTTTTAAAACATTTTCATGTGGTTCAGAGATTTTCATCAAGTAGTATTTGGTGTCATGGGATTTGACCTACCTCTTCCTCACGTTTCTTCCTCACCTTAAGGTGCTAGTGAGCTTCTTAAAATCCCAGATACCCATCGATGAATAGAAAAGCTAGGGTGTTCTCCCCAAATGGAATCGTCTCCCTTTGCAACCCAACTTCTGGTCAAAAAAACAAACATGGGGCCTCAGGTCACTTCAACATGATTTCCCTGCACATCCCAGGCTGGAAAACTTCAGCTCTGTAAATGAAGACTTTTTTTTTCCCCTCCGAGTCGGTCGCCAACAAAAAGAGAGACATCACCACTTTGGGAAGTCTCACACTTATTTTCCTGAGTCCCCATAAGAAGAAGCCAGCTCCACAGGTTTCGGCACACAAGCCCAGTTACACCGAACGCGCACCCCAAACAGTTCCCCAGAGGCCCGCTCAAAAATATGCCTAAATACGCAGCCTGCCACCTACAGGCCAGCCAACTGCACCCCACACTGACTCACAAATGGGACCCAGAGGCACGCAGCACCAGCAGAGAGGCGTTCGGACACGGACACACACCACAGAGGTGAGCACACTCAGATAAACAGGAGACTTACCTAGGGTCACACACAGGACCCGGGCGCCGCCGCCGCCCGCCCGGGAAAGCACGAGTGCGCGCGTGCACGTATATGCGCACACGCCGATACACACACAGACGCAGTCACATATGCAATGCATATGGAGAAACCCTAGCCCAGCCAGTCACCTCCCCGCCCCCCTCACCACTCACCGCCTTCTGCCCTAAGCTAACCCAGCCCCGCGCCCCTCTTCCGGTGCAGACGGGGGTCCCAGCGGGCAGCTGTGCCCAGGGGCGCGGCAAAGCCGGGGTGCCAGGGACTCGGAGGGCTCGGCGACTCGTGCGGCCATTCATTCGGCAACGCCCCAGCGGTGGGGCCACAGCTGCAGCGAGGGAGGCGGCGGCGCTCACTGCAGCTCTTGGGCAATGTTAAGTTCAGCTGCCGGCCCGCAGGCTTTGCCAACACCCCACCCGCCCGCCACCAGCGTTCTCCGGGACAGGCTGGAGAACTGAGCCACTGACCCCAAGAGCAGAAGTCCCGCCGTGCCTCGGCTCCTGAATGCTGCCCACTGCCCTCCTTGCGGCGGCGGTGGCGGCAGCCAGGTCTCCTCGACCCTCCCCAGGCCCCCAGCCGGGGCGCTGGCACCCAAGCCCCGCACTCACCACCTGGCGAGCTATATCGGTCGCTGCCATCTCTCCTGGGTCCGCCAGGACTACCACGGGCGCCGCCGCAACGGGAGCTACCGCACAGGAAAGAGAGGAGCTCCTCCGACAAAGAGAAAGTGTTACACTTCGGACGCGACCAAGTCCGGTGGGGGGAGGTGCAAGGGAGGGGCCCCCTCGCCGCTGGTCCAACCCCAACCTCCACTCTACCGCTTCCCCCCTCGGAAGTTGGGTATGAGGAGGGGGCGGATTTAACAAGCCGCCTCCCCCGACCTCGAGCTCAGTTCCAATTCTCCCCGCAACCCCAGCTGTAGGCCTCTGCGAAGGGGGGCGGGGGCTCCCCTCGGTGACCACGTCCTCTGCCCCCCTCCGCCACTGGGCCCCGTGGTACGTCCCGACCTCTGCTGGATTGTTATATCCCCCTGCTCCTTCTGACATCCCTGAGTCCCCAGACCCTGGAGGCTGGAGGGGAGTCCCCGCCCCTCCCCCCTCCGGCGCTCAGCTCAGCGACTGAGCTTCACTGTCCTCCTCTCCCTCCTCCCGGTCCCCGGTACCCGCTCTTCCTTTCCCCGGAGATCCCAGAGTGCTTGGATGGGAGCGCCTTGGCCGCTGGAGTCTCCATGCTCCACCGTTGTTCCCTCCGTCCCCAATGGCCCGGGAGCGCCAATGAGGCGGAGCGGGGCGGTGTGTGTGGGGGGAGGGAGCCTGCGGCACCTGCCGCTCCACAGTGGAGCTTAGAAAGGGGGCTGTTGTGGGGAGCCGCACTGCGGCCCCGCAAGTGAGCTGTGACACTCGGAGTCCGAAGCCAGAGGTCCTGAGATGCCCCTTCTGCCTTGGGGTTTCCGAAGCTCGGGTGCTGTGGCTGTAATTCCGTGGAGCCGAGCTCACCACCGTTGCACACTTAATGCAGAGGGACCCCACGCGCCTCCCGTCCCCAAGCTCTAAACACTCAGCGTGAGCAGACGCTCGGGCAACTCACCCCTTCTAGCGCCGGGGCGCGACAGACTCTTGGAGGAGGGGCTGGGGATGAAGGTCCTGGGTTCTACTGAGTGCGATGGAGGGGCGGGTGATGGAGAGCGGCCTTCAATCACTGTCCCGCCCCCTGATTTCCCCTGAACTCTAATTCAGCTCGGGACAAGGCGGCTGATAGTGCGCAGAGGAGAGAGCCTCCCAAGGCAGGAGCTGTGCCTGCCTGCTCTCCTTTTCCTCCTGGCCATCAGCCGCCGCCGCCGCAGGTCCTCTCCCTTGCTCTCCGCACCTCTCTACCTCTCCGGCCCTGACGCCCACCGCTCTCTCCCGGGACTGGCCCCTTGCTCGCTCCTTGTAACCGGAGAACCCTGGCAGATTTGGCATGCCCGAGGCCTGAGCGGGCGGGACACTCCATTCCACTCCTCCGAAGGGCAGGTTCCCTGGTCTCCGAGGGAAACTCAGCCTGCAAGAGGGACCCCAGATGGGGGAGGAGATGGCAGGCTTGTGGAGGAAACCTGGGCCGCGAGGAGGTCCCAGTGGAGCGTGGGAGGTGACCCCGCAGATGACCAAAGTGGGAGCCGCTGAGGGGGAGGCAGGAGAGAGAAACAAAGAAAAGCAGGAACCAGGGAGAGAGAGAAGGGACCCGACCCAGAGGCCCTGGCCTTGGAGAAGGGAGGAGACAAGGAAATGGAGTGGCCACGGGTAGAGCTTCCCTGGCGCTTGATTCCACCTGCTGGGGTGATGCTCCTCACACTCTCTCAGGGAGCTCTTGTGTACCCTGTGCTCGTTGAGAACAAGGACTGGCAAAATGCATCTCCATTGCCAAGTGCAGGGCCTGGCATCAGGGAGGCACTCAAGCTGGAGGCAGAGGATGCTGATGGGGTGGGGGAGCAGAAGAAAGAAGAGACACAATGAGGGAGTAGCAATAACGACAGTCATGAAGAGCCAAGTATTCAGGGGGTGCCCACTGTGCTCCATCATTGTGCTGGAGACTCAAGATTGACCTAAAGAGAAGAGCCTGGCACAACCAGGGACCAGTACAGGGGAGTTCTGGAAGACAGAAGGCGCAGGCCCACAGGGGAGGTGGCAGTAGCAAGGAAGAGGGACAGCTGGAGTCTCTGAGACCCTCTGGAGGGCCTGGGGGGCGGGGTTGGGCCCTGGAGTGGGGTGGCAGTGACACAGGGTACCAGGGCTGTGTTTGAGGAACTACCGTAAGCCTTGGGCTCCAACCGGATGGGGGTGGGGAGTCACAGGTGACCGGCAGCTTCCAGGCTGGGTGTCTGGGAGACGGGTCTTCCCTGGCAAGGGCTGGGGTGTGGTGGAAGGAAAGGGCCACTAACTCTGATCTGGACTTGGGATTTGGGTGGTGGCAGGACAAGAGGCGCCCATTAGGAAGCCAGAACTGAGAGGGCGGAGCTTGGGGGGGCGGGTTGTGGGGCTCCGCAGAATGCCGCACCCTGCGCGCTGCCCTCGCGCCTTAGCACTCCGCACGGACCGAAGCTCCCAGACATTTCTGCCGGGCGCTGCGGGCACCTTGGCACAGAATCCTTGGTGTCCCACCCGTGTGCCCCACTAGGTCCGCCTGTTCCTAGAGAGTACCAGAACCCCGTGGAGGCCTCCTCCTCCAAAACGTAGGACCTCGAAGACCTGGACCAATTCAAGTCTCCTGCAACCGTTTGGTTCCTCCAAGACCTGCTTGCTGCCAGCAGCTGCAAGCCCCTCCTGGGGCCTGGGCCTCCCAATTTCTGTACCGTGTGTGTCAGTGTGTGTGATGGTCTTGATGTGAGTAGGTGTGCACTTGTATATGTGTCACTGTGTGTTGGTGTGTACTGTCAGTGTGTCAGCTATGTGTCTGTGTGTACATCTGTGTGTCAATGCGTGTGCTGGTGTTTACTTGTACGTTTGTATTTATCGGTGTGTCTGTCCACCAGTGTGTGTATGTGTGAGTCAGATTGTCAGTGTGTGTGCGTGTTGGTGTGTTTGTCAGTGTGTTTGTGTGTTTCAGTGTGTGCGACAGTGTGTATTTTTGGTTTGTATTGATGTGTGTCAACGTGTGTATTCAATGTGGTGTGTGTGTATGTGTGTGTGTCAATGTGTAGGGAGATTTAGCTCACTGTGTTCTGGGCTTTACATACCTTACCTCACTCAATCAGTGGGACAGCAACTGAGAGGTGTGAATTATAATGCTCATTTCAGCAAAGAGGTTTGAAAGCTGTCTTGGTCGCTGCCTCCCAGTCTTTGGTCCCAGGTCACCTTCCTGGGTACAGGGAAGAGGGGAGGGCTGAGGAGGCAAGAGGGCTCATGAGTGGTCAGATGGGGGGTTTTCTTCG